AGGTTGAAGTGTTCTCCTACAGGTTTTTGTATATTGCCATTCCTGATATCTGACTTGTGTCCATTTATCCTCTTGTGTAGTGACTGTCCAGTTTGGCCAATGTACATAGCCGAGGGGCATTGCTGGCACATGATGGCATATATAACATTGGTGGACATGCAGATGAATGAGCCGGTGATGTTGTAGCTGATCTGGTTAGGTCCTGTGATGGTGTTGCTGGTGTTAAAGTTTACAATTTGTCTGGTTCCCTTCTCATGAGTATGACCTTCCTTGTTGGTTGGGCCCACATATCAACAGTAAAGGGTGGAACCAATGCCTTTCTTTGTTAATGAATTTATTGACCATCTAGACAAAACAAGAGAGAGAGAGAGAGAGAGAGAGAGAGAGCAATGAGCGTATAAACAATACAGCTGCTAGCATCAACAGCAGCTAACCAACACCAGCCTGATAACACAAAGTGGTTGCCCAGCAATAATTATCTTACTTAATGTGTGCACTCTGACATGTGGGGATGGATAGTAAACATCATTAACAGCAACTCAAAATGGAACAAAACAATCATAACGCTACGTAGGTTCCTAAATATTTTCCCTCATTTACATGGACAGCAGGCACAAGAAAAGGATGATAGGGCATCCCTTGGCATAAGCAAAAGGCTGCTATCATCTTCTCTCTTCCTGCTGTGCCATGATGCGTGCACATATGGTGTCCCTAATTTCCTTTGCCTACTGGGACCCAAGACCTGTATACATATATTTTGGATCTGGCTGCCTGGTAAACAGTTCTCAAACCAGATCTGTCCTGAGCTCACTCAGGACAGAAACACTCTGCTCACAAATGCTGTGGAGCATGCAGCATGGCACTATTATTATAACTGAGCTTTTCACATTAGCATCGAATTGTCTGTAAACATCTCCAATGAGCTTTCAGCCTACCAAAGGCTAATTCCATGACCATTATGCAGCTACTTAGTTTGAACATGAAATCCCTTTTCCCAGGGTCATAGACAACAGGGTATGGTTTCATAAGCCAAGTCATGAGTGGATATGCAAGGTCCCCCAAAATAACAGTTGGTGCAGATACACTATCCAGGACAATTTTGTTTGTGGGGAATAAAGTCCCCGTTTCCACTTTAATTTACAATCCCGATCTCCTCAGCACACTTGTGTCATGAAGCTTACCAGTGCACCCCACTTCAGTGTTCATAAATCTGCCTCTGTGGTCCACAAGGCCTTGTAGAACAATGGAACGATGGAACCTCAGAGTTATGAGTTATGAACACCTCAGGAATGGACGTTGTTTGTAACTCTGAAATGTTCATAACTCTGAATGAAACGTTATGGTTGTTCTTTCAGATGTTTACAACTGAACATTGCCTTAATACAGCTTTGAAACTTTACTATGCAGAAGAAAAATGCTGCTTCTAACACTCTTAACTTAAATTAAACAAGCACAGAAACAGTTTCCTTACTTTGTCAAATCTTTTTTAAAACTTTTCCTGTATTTTTTTAGCCGTTTATATTTAACACAGTTCTGTACTGGGGTTTTGGGGTTTTTTTGTTTTTGGTCTCTACTGCTGCCTGATTGCATTCTTCCAGTTCCAAATGAGGTATTTGTCTTGACAGGTCAGTTCGTAACTCTGGTGTTCGTAATGCTGAGGTTCTACTGTAGTACCCTTTCCTGTTCACATATTCACATGGTGGGACAAACCACTGGGGCATGAGTTCCATCAATGGCCCTGAGCAGTTTGGAAACCCATGCCTCTCAAAACTAGTTATTTTTTCGGGAATGTTATTTACACCAACTACCCATGGGTTAATCACAATGTTACCTGCCTCACAAACCACAACCACTACAGTGGACCTCCCACCCCCAGATTGGTTTGACATGGACCTATAGCTGTCCGAGACAGCTAGCGCCACAGGGCAATACTAACCCACTTCTCAAAAGGCATGGCTTCCTTGAATCGAGTGTTCTGGTGCTCATGGGTTGGTGCAAGCTCCTCACACACCTCCAGGAAGGTTCCGTTTCGCATGAGTGAGGCTATGATTCAGTCATGGGTATTTTTAGTAAAAGGCATGAACAGGTTATGGGAATAAACAAAAATTCACGACCTGTGAGCTGTCCATTACTTATATGAAAAATAACTGTGATTAAATCTTGGGGGAGACGTGCTGGGGAACGGGGGGGACGGACGAAGGGAGCTGCTGCTGGGACCAGAGAATGGATGGGGGAGGGGGATTCCCTGGGGCTGGTCAGTGACTGACAGGGGCCAGGGAATGGATGGGGGAGGGGGATTCCCTGGGGCTGGTCAGTGACTGACCTGGGCCAGGGAATGGATGGGGGAGGGGGATTCCCTGGGGCTGGTCAGTGACTGACCTGGGCCAGGGAA